TTGGAGGTTCAGGGCACTTATTGACCAATTATAGCTGTGCTTATAATCCACTTAAAAGCCCCTTCAGCGCCCTAATAGAATAGGCTAATAAGTACCCCATGCACCTTCAAGTAGCCCCAAACCCGAAAGCCCGAAACCCTGAAGCTTGGCCCTAAACCCTTTGAACCTGCTTGGAGATCGCGCGAGTGCAGAAGTGGGGATCGCAGGCCCCCATACGCCGAGATACCAAGGCTAACATGGACTTCCTTTGGCAAAACGGACCGTGACTTAGAGGAATCACCCCATAGGGCCACAGGGCTTAGGGCCTATTGCCTTTTGCGGATGCCTTTTCAAAGGGTGCCGCATTCTGATGGGTACCCAAAAAGGGCACATAACTTAGCGAATTACCCATCAGAAACTCCCAAGTGCAAAGGCGAAGTGCCTCGGGGGCGAACTTGGCCTTCTCCCACTCACCGAAGCCGCTGGCGCTCAGCTTGGTCACCACCTCCACGCGCCCACTTCGATAGTTCCGTGTTTGGATGAGGGCTTGGGCTTAGGTTTCAGAGTTTGGGGTTTAGAGTTTAGGGTTTGAGTCCCGGGCGCTTTAGGGCTTTCAGGGTTGGAGGCTTTCGGGGATATTCAGGTGCTTGGCACTTGGGATTTATGGGTTTGGGAGATCGGGAGCCGTAGGCCCTAGGACCAGCTGAGGAATCTGATGTTGAGCAAAAGGGCAGTTCTCTAAATTGGGGTTTCATGTGGGGTCCTCTAAATATGACGGCACCGCAATAATGGTAAGGACCCAGAAAGAGACCCAAAGACTTAGAGAGATACCAAAAGACATGATGACATGAGAGCAACGAAAACAACCATCCAAACTCCTAAAATCTCTCTCCGGTCCCCTTCAACAGAACAAAGGTCGAGGAACTAAACAAGGTGTTTTTGGTGTCTCTTTTTTTTTTGGGGGGGGGGGGGGGGGGGGGGCGATGTGGTGTTTTCGTTCGAGGGCCTAGGCGCTATTTTGGGTTTTAGGCGACAGGGCCGCTGACACAAGGGCTTATTTAGGGTTCTCCTTCCTTCTGCTTCTTCCTCACTCAAACAATAAACTAACCGACTAAACCCCTTGAATCCGTGGAGCCCCTTAGACCCCCAAAAACAATCAGCGGAAAACCCTGAAGTCTCAAACGAACCCTCAGAGCCCTCTTGACCCTTCAAACCCTAAAAAAACATGTCAGAAACTCAAGACCCTAAAGCCCCTAAAGCCCCCCCCCCCCCAAAAAAAAAAAAAAAGGAGCTCCACGCCTTGAAGTCCAAGCACCCGCCGCACACGACGCGCTGCACGCTGCTCACGCCCTCGACCTCCAAGGAGGGCTTGGGAGGGTTTAGGGCGGCTTGAATGGGGCTTGAGTGGGGACTTACGGGGGTTGCATGGTCGAAGGGCTCAAGGGGTTTAATGCGGCTTAGGCTTTGGTGCTGAGGAGTTTGCATTTGGGTGTGTGGGGGGTGTATCGTCGAGGGTGTTAAGGTTCAGGTCTGGGTTTTTGAAGGCTTGAGGGGTTCAGGGTTGAGGGGTCCCAACCGCCCCCGCCCCCCTGTGAGAACCAGAAGTGCGCAGCAAGAACTTGGGGGGAGGGGGGTGGGGAGGAAGCAGAAAAACAGAAAACGCCACCAAAACCCCCCAAGAAAACCCTTAAATCCCCATCCTAAACCCTTGAAACAGCCCCGCCCTGAGCCCCCGCGTGCAATCCAAGCTGCGGAGCTCAGATCCGCCAGCACATCCTCGAGAGCCTGCTGCGCAGCGCTCAGGGACGCCTCGTGTGGAGTGCGGGAGTTCAGGGATTTAGGGGGTTTTTGGGGGGGCTTAAATAAAGTCTAGGGTTGAAGGTCTAGCGTTTAGGCTTTCGGGTCTGGGGTTTCGGGCTGAAGGTTAAGGGTTTAGGGTTGAGGGGTTTCAAGATTCGGGCCTGCAGGGTTGATGTCTCTAAAGGACGGTATTGGGCTGGTTTAAGTTTACTGCCTGGGGTTTCGGGGATACTCGGGCTCCCCAAATCCCTGACTGCTTCACTGAATCCTTTCAATGCCTGAGCTCTAGCTCTGAAACCCCGAAACGTCCCAACAACGCGGAAACCTACTTGTAAACACCTGCCACCGTTGCATGGAAATCGACAGCCCTTCGATCCCGAAGCCCGCACTAAGATCCCTTCAATCCCTCCAAGTGGGCCTTGTCGTTGTCAGCAGACCACTTGCATCGCCACTCACGGGCGATGTTGTCGAACCTCAAAATTGCTGAGTACAAGCAGCTCTCACGATCTTCTACAGAGGAACCCCAAGCCGCCTAAACCCTCAAACTCTGGCGAGGAGCTTCACGGACTTTGTGATTTCCGGCATGAGCCACCAAAGGCGTCTCCAAGTCAAAACCGCGCGCTTGAGCCAAAAAGCACTAAAAGCACCGGATTCAAGGCTGTGGGGACTCACAAATGCACGTGGAAATCCACTGCCCAAAAGCTTTCGGACGGAGGGGGAGCTGCACCTGAATCCACAATGCGCACCTAGGATGCGCACGTTGCCGTGTGCTTGCGGCATATTTGTGTTTGCGGCACCCGTCTTACCTTTACTAGAACATGAACCATGACTCGAGAATTCTCGTTGAGTCGTTCAGATTATCTCCGAAGAGGTCCTATGAAAGTGAGAGGACAGCGACCACGGGTGATCGACCTGGGCAGTTCGGTCCAACCCTCATCTCACGACCCCAAGATGCCTTCTAGAGCTTCCTTAAATGTGGGAAACACCCAACCCCTGCACGTATGGGACCCGAAAGTTCCGTCCACCACGCCCGTTGGGGGGGGGCTTTGTGACACAACTCTGGCTGTTGTGCAACTAGCACTATCATCAACCCCAAACCCTAAACTCCCTAAACCCTAAACCCCATCCTGCCTGCACTGTGGCTAGAAGGGGAAGATCGAGGCTTCATGGCACTGGAAACAAACGCCCTCTAGAGTAGAATGCAACCCCATGCCAAAGGAGACCTGAATCAGGACCCTAAACCCTAAACCTTAAACCCTCAACCCTGAACCCTAAACCCTAAACCCTAAACCTTAAACCCTAAACCCTATACCCTGTACCCTAAACCTACTTAGGGCGTCCCCGACCGGCTGCCAGGTTTTTTTCGGCACGGTCGCGAGGGCACCGGGTCCGGAAGCGGCGGCTCATGCAACTCACGGGTCCTGACGCGGCGTCTGTCGTACCCGCTGCTTAGGTCCAAGCCCCAAACCCTTAAACTTTGGTCCCCCTATACAACATAGCAAGAAAACTGCACGCGCGAGGACTTCTTGAAGGAAAACTCACAGTAACAAAGAGGCGCTATTCTTGCTCCTCCTCTAAGATGTGGAAGGATAAATTAACTGCGCCAGCAATTACGGCAGAAAAGCCCACAGTAGAAGACCATTAACATGTCGCCTCCCCTGAAGCCAACAGGGCATGCAATAGAACGAAGAGCACTTATGGAAAGACAACCTGCCGTCACAAAGTAGCGCTTGTTGTCTGCATGGCAAGATTAACTTTAAGAGAGACATTTCCTGCGCGAGCACCCCCGGAAGGCAGACCTGTCGTAACAAAGTGGCGCCTTTTCTTTTCCTGATCGAAATGGCAAGAAATCTTTTCTTTGAACCTAAACCCTTGCCCTGAACCCTAAACCCTAAACCCTAAACCCTAAACCCTAAACCCTGAACCCGAAACCCTGGGCCTTGAACACGTGCCCTGTGCCGATTGTTCTCAATTCCATTAGCGCCGATTGTTTGGAGGGCTGGCAGATTGTTCGGAATCGCATGAAGCCATCCGCTCCCAACCCGCCCCCCCCCCCCCCCAAAAAAAAAAAAAAAAACACGGTGGTAATTGACCCGTCGGCTACAAACTCTTGTGCTTTCGAGGGGCATATTCCTACATGAAGTGCCCCGAAACCTCGAACCCTAAAACCCTAACACCCTAGAACCCTACAACCCTAAAACCGTAAGACCCTAAAACCCTAAACCCTAAACCCGAAGACCCTAAAACCCCAAACCCTACAACCAACAACCCTAAACCCCAAAAACCCTAAACCCTAAACCCTAAAACCCTAAAGGGCCGGGCCCAGTGGCCTGACCGGGAGACTGTGTCGCAGCCTCACGTCGGTCTCGAGGCATTGTTTGGCGTGCGGTTAGGGTTTTGGGTTTAGGGTTTAGGGTTTAGGGCCTAGGGTTCAGGGTTTAGGGTTTAGGGTCTAGGGTTTAGGGTTTAGGGTTTAGGGTTTGGGGGTTTGGGGGTTTGGGGGTTTGGGGTTTAGGATCTCGGGCTTAGGGTTAGGGTTTAGGGTTTAGGGTTCGAGGTTCAGGGTTCAGGGTTCAGGGTTCAGGGGTTCAGGGTTCAGGGTTCGGGGTTCAGGGTTCAGGATTCAGGATTCAGGGCTCAGGGTTCAGGGTTCAGGGTTCAGGGTTTAGGGTTTAGGGTTTAGGGTTTGGCCTCCGACCCATGACACTCCCTCATCTGTGCATCCCGTGTATTAAGGATGACATCTCATTGGCTGAGAAAAACTCCCGCAGCCGGCTAGTAGAATAGTTTCAATACGGTTTTGGGGGTTATTATAGTATGAATGTACAGGGACCATAAGGGAATACTATTAGTAATTATTCCGACCCCCATAGTAGAGTTTGAGTTTCACAGAGAAGGCTTGCTTGTCGTGATAGCACCCTGATAAGCCCTCACCCTAAGTCCACAATGCAGTCGTCAACTCGCGATGGTGAGGCTCGATAAGGCAGAGAAACTGTTGCCTGCATGGTATTTGGCTTTAGCTGGACTCAGCTCTTAGGACAAGGGTTGGGGTGTTCCCCCTCATATTAACACTCCGTAATAGGATGATGATAGGGGGTACGATAATCCTTATCAAGGACTCCTACTATAAGGGGGGAACATCCCAAGACAAGTGTTGAATTTGTGGAAAAAGATTAATGTCCATGCCCAAAAACCCTCTACTTCGAGCTTGTCTACGCACCTCATGCGCCAAGGCCCTTACTTTGGACAAAATAGCCTCCAGAACGTCCTGGGCGCAAGGTCTTACATAATTTAGAGGGTTGTAGGGTTCTAGGGTTATAAGGCTATGGGGTTTAGGGTTTAAGGCCGGGGCCATGCGTGAGCAACAATCAAGCTTTTCTGAGACGGAGCATACATGTGGGATAAACGTGAGCGCGTCTATAGCTTTTGTCCCAGTTCTTTTGCAGCCGGACTGAGAAACCCATGAACCCCCTTGAAGCACAAACCCGAAACACATCACCCCCGGTACACCTCTTGCAATCTCTGGAAAAAATCAACACAATGCGAACAATGGCTCAAGCCTGCATGATTCTTGTAAACCCTCAACCCAAACCACATAATTGAGCTGCTACCCAGCTGCGAGGCGGTACCGGAGCCCATTCTCCCAAAACCCTTCCCCCGTGATGTGCTGGGCTGCAGGGTCCCTGGCCAGCTCAGGCGAAAACATGTTGTGGGCCTTACTTGGCAATTTCGAAGGGAAGCACTTAAGGGCCGTTCTGTCTGAAGAACTCCGCTGGCGGGCTGCTCCCCAGGGGCCTCGCAAGGGCTGAGGTCCCTTTTCAAACCCTAAATACTAAACCCTAAACCTTTGAATCCAGGAGGGACCGTCTAAAGAGGAACAACATCTGTTCAGGAAGCAGGGTGCAGTACTAGTATAGCGGGAAGAAGGGGATGTAGAAACAACTGAACATGGCTACGAGTTATTTCAAGTTTCCGGTACTCCAGAGTAGGAAGGAAGAAGCACTCACCGCTACAGATTGAATCGCGTGCTTTCATGGTGCCTAGTGACCAAACTCTGGCTTGCTGGGCGGGATGCTACTGCAAGTGAAGCCCAACGAGGCTTTAATTCACAACCTGAAACATGCTTGAATTCCTTGCAAAGCCACAAGCCATACAAACTCGATCCCCGTTGAGTTCCGCACGCTGACACGGAGCCTCAGATACACAAGCAACTGTCACGTTTGCTGAGGAGTGAGTGAGCGACCTGGGTCCTGGGTGAATAGAAGGGGGAGCAGGAGGCTAGCGACTGTCATCTGTACGATCGAGGTTCAGGGCTGATTACGCTGCAATTCGAATGAAAAAGCAACAGACGTTAGGTGCTGAGGCTGGGGAACGTTGTAAACGATGCCTGTGTCACACATTGCTTAGGGCGTGACCTTTTGCAAGCACGCGCTCTAGAGGTTGCGAGCTTTGGGGCCACTATAAGAAGTACTTTCACCCCGACTTGAACCTCAACCTTGTAGGTTTTCTCAAAGTCGCGTACCCCTAACCCACAGGCAACAAACAAGAAGCTTCGGAGCTCAGCTCGACACCTCGAGCCTAGCCGGCACCTGCTTGCGTAGCAAGCACAACGAGGTGGGGGTCTCGGGCTTTTCTCATATCCTAGAGCACTTCAAAGTGCACATAAGCTTCAGCCCCTTTCCGGGTCCAGGATTTTCCGTTCCTGCACAAGAAATGGCCGAAAAACAAAAAGCCTTCAACTCCTAATACCCCTCAACCCCTGCCGCTGCCACCCCCCCTCCTTCCCCAAACAAAACATTTGGAATCCCATCCAAATCCTCAAACAATTCTGACGCCCAGGCTGGTTCTGAAACCCTGAAGCCCCGCAACCCCAAACCCTAAACCCAAAACCGCTGCTTCACGCTGAGCTGTGAGGGTTGGCACAGCCTCCGTTTTTCACACATAGAAGAGCTTACGGTGGCTCGGGGAGCTTGCAAGCTTTGAGGGCACGTGGAATGATGTTTTACTACCAATCCTCGCCTTCTAGCAGGCGATGCTCATGATGCGGGGGCGACGTCGAAGCACGGTTGTACGGGCAGCTGACGCCAATCATGCTGGCCTTTCGACAGCCGCAGCCGCTTGAAGTTGAGAGCGGTGGCACTGACAGCAGATGCTAATGATGTCGTTCGGGAGGGCCCTCGCTTTGCGTAGTCTCTACTGCACTTCCTTTCTTTCATCTATAGTTCGTTTCCGCCGCTTTGTTTTGCACTTTTTGGCCTGAAATGGGTACCCCCTTAGCCTTCTGTATTAACATTGATATTGCTGTGATTTCGATTACTATCACTGTTATGCTGCGACTTCTGCAGCGACGACGCCTGCCACTACTACTACTACTACTACTACTACTACTACTACTACTACTACTACTACTACTACTACTACTACTACTACTACTACTACTACTACTACTACTACTACTACTACTACTACTACTCTACTACTACTCTACGACTACTACTACTACTACTACTACTACTACTACTACTACTACTACTACTACTACTACTACTACTACTACTACTACTACTACTACTACTACTACTACTACTACTACTACTACTACTACTACTACTACTACTACTACTACTACTACTACTACTACTACTACTACTACTACTACTACTACTACTACTACTACTACTACTACTACTACTACTACTACTACGATACTACTACTACTACTACTACTACTACTACTACTACTACTACTACTACTACTACTACTACTACTACTACTACTACTACTACTACTACTACTACTACTACTACTACTACTACTACTACTACTACTACTACTACTACTACTACTAACTACTACTACTACTACTACTACTACTACTACTACTACTACTACTACTACTACTACTACTACTACTACTACTACTACTACTACTACTACTACTACTACTACTACTACCCTTTCCATTTTTTTTGCAATTAAACTGTATACAATGGCAAGTAAGGGTAGTAGTGCTCATGATGCTCGCCTTTGGGAACGGAGGCTTCCTCGCAGTGGCAGTGGCTGTGGTGCTGATGCTGATGGGCTCCAATCCACTTCCGCAAGAGCGCAGCAGAACCCCTATTTCCGAACTCTACACGGGACAATCGGAAAGCCCTGAGCCTCAACCTTACGTACACCGCAGACATCCCAAAATCCAAGTCATCCGGAAGCCTATGGCCTATGCTCCAGACCTGAAACAGCAGCCCAGGTTCCGGGGCCCTGGCTGGACTTGATGGCTTGCCCGTTGCCACAGGTAGCTCACCTGGGCGGGGTGTGTCGAAGTTATGTTGAGGCTCACAAGGGGGCTTGAGCAAGGCGGCCGGGTATAGGCTGCAACCTGTACTTTCAGCGAGTTCACGGTTTTCACAGATCTTGGGGTCCCCCAAGTCCCGCCCTCCCCAGCCTGTCAGCGCTTCTCGCGAGAGGCCATCGTCGAAGGAAAGCTGGCCCTGCTCGATATGATGACCGCCGGAGTACTCTCCTGCGTTTCAGGAGGGTTCAGGGTTTCGAGGAATTCGGGCCTCCTGATCCCCTAAACCCTAAACCCTAAACCCTAAACCCTAAACCCTAAACCCTAAACCCTAAACCCTAAACCCTAAACCCTAAACCCTAAACCCTAAACCCTAAACCCTAAACCCATTTCGGGTTGTGGTTCGGGTTTTCTGCAGGGGGTCGCACCTGAATTCGAAGCCAGGATCGGCTGTTGCGAAGAACTTAAAATCAGAAAGGCCGTGGCCGAAGTTTACGGGTTTAGGATCCGATCAGCCAACTTAAGGTTCCAGGCCCAGGCCCGTTTGCGCGATGTTGAAACATGCAAACTGCCTACCAGGCCGTGCCAGTCTATATGCACCTTCCAGCATGGGCTATCGGGCCTTAGAATCCCCCTAACCAACCCTATAAAGGGCCTTTTTTAGGGGTTATAGGGTACAATAGCCCCTGCAGGCTGGTTCCTACTCAACGAATTCCAAGGCCAACTTTTGCTTTCTTGGACCTTCGGATTCTACAAGGTCCCAAGGCCGAAGTCTCCGAAGCTCGCTGAACCTTCTGGAGCCCCAAAGCCGCGACAATCCCATCAATGGGCTGCCAATCTCTGAGCACCCTACACCCTAAACCCTAAACCCTAAACCCTAAACCCTAAGCTTCAAAAACCGGACAATGGGCCGACTCACTTCTCTCAAAACCTCTCCTGTAAGCCGTGCCCCCGAGCGGCTCGGAAACGGGGCCCAGGACTGCGCCTGGAAACAGCGCTCCGTTCGGTTTGAAGGCTTTAGGGTTTAGGGTTTAGGGTTGAGGGTTGAGGGTTGAGGGTTTAGGGGGTTGGGATGATTCCCCCTTATACTAAGAGCTCCTTAATAGGGATTATGGTAGGGGCTACAAAAATCCCCATTAAGGACTGCTAGTATAAGGGGGAACATCCCAAGATCAGGGTGGTCTTGAGCTTTCTGAGGGTTCTTTGGTGTGATGGTTCGTCTGGGCTTCGGGCTCACATGCTGTGGACCCCCTGCCTTAGCGGTTTAGGGTTTAGGGTTTAGGGTTCACAGTTTAGGGTTCAGGGTTCAGGGTTCAGCGTTCAGGGTTTAGGCGGCATCTGTGGTGAGTCAACATACGCGCATCTTGGATGCCATGCTGGGCCTGGTATCATGCAGGTTCCCTCCTTGCTAGCTTTCGAGCTGGAAAAAAGAAGGCGGGGCCTACTGGATACAGGTCCTCTGGCGCAGAACATTCCTTGGGAGGAATTCCCAGGTGAACCATCGCTGTTGTGCGCGCCCGTCACGCTAACGCTTTGTAGTCGGTGGGACAAGGTTTAAGTTTCGGCGGGAAAGCTTGAGGCAGAGCAGCCATCTTTGCACAGGTCGAGACGCCTTCACTGGAATTTCCTGCCAAAAGAAGCTCGGGAACTTCACGGACCATAGCCTCCCGTGGCCTAAACGCCAGAGTCGGCTCAGAGGATGCCCAGCTGCGTTCGAAATAGCTCACTGCAGTCTAACAAGTTTAAAGCCAGTTTGTAACTTCGGTTTCGGGTTGATGAGTCAGGACGTTGAGTCTATGCTTTTGCCTACGAACTCCCAGGACTCTGGAAGCCCTGAGCCCCAAACCTTCAGGGTGAACCAATCTCAATCCCTCCGACGGGGCCCGCGCCGTGGACACTGGAAGCGGTGTGCGCGTGGGCTCCTCGGGATGTGCCTCGGGAAGGGACTCGGGAGGATGTTGCCGGCTTCAGAAAGTGTCAGGCCGTCTACACGAGGGGAAAGTGGCTTTAGAGTGTGGATGTGTGGGTGTGACATGATGTGAACAGCTCTGAGGTGCACACATGGGTACCCACATGTTAAGGCCCACAGGCAGCGAGCTTATGTGCTGTTAAGAGCCCCAAGGCCTAAAGCCCGACTGCGGAGTCAGGTAAGTGGACATAGAGAGAGAGAGAGAGAGAGAGAGAGAGAGAGAGAGAGAGAGAGAGAGAGAGAGAGAGAGAGAGAGAGAGAGAGAGAGAGAGAAAAAAAAAAAAGAGAGAGAGAGAGAGGGCCAGTTGGCCGCAGCATGCCACAGTCACCTAACTGGATACCCGAGACCACTGATATCAGGAGAAAGGCAACTGCTGGAGCGGCGCCCAACTTTGGAAGACCAAGGTCATAAGGCAACAGCCGTCTTCGAGCTGCTGAGCACAAAAACGGGATATCGCGGCTGTGCAGGTGGGCAAAACACATCTTTACAGACAGGGTGGAGACTGATCTTTTGCACGTTTCTAAACATATTCGAAACATGCTAGCAAAGAACATTTCATAACAACAAAAACAAATGTTGTAGTTCAAGCGATATTGCTGTCAGCAAAGCTCTGCAAAATCATCACAAACACCGCCAGATTCCTTGCAAAAAAGGTCGTACAAGTAGAAGACCCTTCGCCGAGCAAGCTGCCAGATTTCCTTGAGGTAATGACCCTTAATGACCCCTGGCCTCTTTGAGCTCTCGAAGAAGTTGGAACATGCGTACATCAGATCACAAAGCCCAAGCCTAAGAGGGACTAAATGCAAAGCACGATCCCGGTTCAGCGACGAATCGCGACCAATCCCCTTTGGCTAGGCTCTACTGGCGTCTTGAAAAACAAGACGCAACATGAACCAGCTCAGCAATCTTCTGCGATCCCTTGGGGGTCCGGCCGACTGCATCGGAGTGGCTGAGGCCACCTGGCTCGGGCTTTAGGATTGAGATCTTCGGGTAAAGGTGTGACGAGTAGCGTTCTCAATAATGATGCGTGGCTGGAGGGGCGTGACTGAGAATGAGGCATGTGGGCAAAAGCTCGCCGCAAAGCCGCAAACGGGCAAACGGCCACAAGTGCGGCTGCTGTTCGACTTGAGCTTGCCCAACACTTCGTCAGTTGCTGGGGAACTTCGAGGCATTGTGCAAAGCTTTAGGTGTGCTGGGGGACTGGGGGGCATGGCGCTGTCGGCCTTTCAATACCATACGTGGAGCCGTGAACAAGGCACAGAGGTTCAAGGTGGGAAGGCGAGGGCTAAGTGGAGCTGAGGGTTTTCCAAGATCGTGACTTTAGAACCTTTAGAATGGGCTTGCTAGTCTTTTCTGGGCGCCTCTGGCGTCCTGGTTTGACGTCGAGGGAAAAGCACATGGTTTGGGATGGACAGGCCCAGGGCGTATGATTCAGAACACGCGCGTGAACGATTATAACATGTCCACTATTGAAGCTGCGTCTGGGATCGTTAGGCTTTGGCACGCCTCCTCATCGTCACATGGCTCGTTGAAGGATGTTGGCGATGGCCGTTGGGTGGTAACCGGGACGTCTGCTGGCGACGTCCTTGTCTGAACAGGGGCTTGCATGGGTTTTTGGAGGGCTTATGAGCCCAAAAACCCCGAACGATGGGCAAGTTCCGGGTATCTGTGTGCATTGCAGCGCTGCTGAACACTTTTCCGGCCGAAGGGCACAAGCACTGAGGACGTAGCAGCATGACAATGACACACATCCCCACAACCCCCCCCCCCCCCCCTATATCCCCTTGTACCCACCTTATACCCCCCTTATAACCCCCTAAGCCCTGAACCCTAAACCCTGAACCCTGAAACCCATGGAACGGAAATGGGGTTCGGAGGGAAGTCTGTCAAGCTTCACACATAACTTCACTTCAAAGGGACCCTGAACCCTAAACCCTTGCCCTGCACCATAAACCCTACGCCCTGAACCCTAAACCCTTCCTTGCCCTGAACCTAAGCCCTTGCCAAACCCTAAACCCCAAACCCTGGGCCTTGAACACATGCCCTGTGCCGATTGTTCTCAAGACTTGCAGGCGCCTGAGCCCCTTGCTCCTCCGTCATGAGACGACCTCGGCCCAGCGGGGCTTTAGGGGTTGTTTGGGAGGTTTAGGGGCTGCGGGGGTTTAGGCGGTTTAGGGTTTAGGCAATTTAGGGGTTAGGGGTTCAGGGGTGTTCTTTGGGCCACCCGCCAAGCAGCAAGGGTTTTTGGGCCACCCGCCAAGCAGCAAGCAAGCAAGCACACAAGCAAGCAAGCAACCCTGAAGCGTCTAGACCCCCCAAACCCTATACACCCGAAAACCCTAAACCTCTTCCAAGCCCCTGCTACCCGATCACAACCAACGGAAACCCTAAACCCCACGTACAAGTGTAGACCCAGAACCACCGCAACCCTACAGCCATTTTGTGCCCCAAGCCCATAACCTTCTTTCCAGGCCCCGAAACCCTAAACCCTGAAACCCCAAAGCCTTTGGATCGCATCCACGACCTCGAACCCCGAACCCTAGCCCACCGAGGAAGGAGCGTACCGCTTCGAGTACGGCCTGGACGCAAGGTCATACATAATTTCAGGGGATTAGGGTTATAGGGTTATAGGGTTTAGGGAAGGCGAGGGTAAGTGTGAGCCTACAAGCTTTTCTGAGATTTTTTAGGAGCGTGCATGAGGAGGCGCAGCATTCGGAACGCCAGCAGCTTCATGACAGCATGCATGCCAGGCCAGACGTGTCTTACAGTAACCCCCTTAAAGCACAAACCCTAAACACAGCGCCCCCGCTGCACCTCTTGCAATCTCTGGAAAGAATCAACATGCATGCGAACAATGGCGAGCCCTTCTGATTCTTGTAAACCCTCAATCCAAGCCAGTTAAGCATCCTGCAATCACGTAATTGAGCGGCTACCCAGCTGCCTCTTCATGTGCTTGCTGCTCTCGGCGCAAGCGGTGTTCCATCGATTTCAACATCGCATCCTGAATTCCAAAACGAGGCAGGATTTTTTGGGGCGGTTTAGGGCTTATAGATGTTGGTTCAGAGCTGGGTGGTCAACATCCCGTGTTGTGTTCTGAAGCCACGCAACAACCTTGCGTGAAACAGCACACTGTCGCGACGCACACAGCTCCTTAACCCTGTAAGCCACTCTACCAGGTAAGCCCCAGACCCACAAGCCCAATCAACTCCCATGCCCAGCCGGTGCTCCTAGCAACCCAGTGAGTATTCTAAAGTCTTCCCCAATGTGCTGGGACATCTATGTAAAACTGTGCAAAATAAGAACTGGAAACGGCCACTGTTTTCCGAATCCTGGGTACCTCCCCACGGACTCTAAATCAGGCCTTTGTGAAGGAAGCCACTCAGTCACTGGACGGAAGAAGCTTTGTTTGTCTGCAAATCGAATTTAGTTTTAGGCTTAAACCCTAACAGGAATCGATTTGGGTGGTTTTGCCGCTAGCTGCTCTTCACATTTCACGACGCGTTCAAAAGGTAATCTGCATCCCACCTAAACCCTAAACCCTAAACCCTAAACCCTAAACCCTAAACCCCAAGCCCGAACCCTAGCAGCCCCAAACAGCTGAAGCGAGCCACGAACTGCTCCGTGCGGGCACTCGAGTCCTGCAAGGCGCCATGTCGAGAGGCTCTAGGGTTCATGGCGTCTGGGGTTTAGAGTTTTAGGGTTTCTTTCGGCGTTTATAGGGTTTAGTTGGAGGGTCGGGAATGTGGGCTCTAGGATGCTGTCGACTTGTTTTTTGTTGGGCTTTTGTTTGGGGGAGGGGGGGGGGGGGGGCGTTTCTTACATACACTCCGGACTCCCGTAAAATCTTCGATTTTAGGGTTCCTGCACCATGTGATTTAGGGTTTAGAGTGCTCCAAGGCACGGCAAGTCACTTCAAGTCCAGGTTGGGCTGACGAATCATCAGAACTCCGAGACATGCGAAACTAGAGTGACAGGAACTCGCGGGTTGAGGGCTTATACGGTTTTGGGGTCAGGCGGAGCTGACCAGGTTGAGTTGTTTTTATACCCTACACCGGAAAACAAGCCATCAGTCAAGCCTGAGCCGTCAACCCAAAGGCCTACGGACTCACAAGCGTTCGGCCTTGCGCAACAGGTCTTTGATTTGGGCCTTTTGCAGGTCCATGGCCAGTCGGCCTTGGTTTGGAAAAGCAGCTCATAGGGAGGGTGTTTTAGGCAAATATGGTTGGGGATTTTCAGGGCAAGATAAAGCCCGAAAAGCATGAGCTCTGGACAAGCAACATTCCCTGTGAAGGATGCCCGCTTTTTGGTGTCTAGACCCTTCTAATCCAAAAACTCAGATCACCCGAAGCCGCATCTGAACAAGCAAAGGCGCAAAGTGCCGTCTCGCGCTTGAGAACCTGCCAGAATTGAGCCCCATTGAGTCATTTTCAACAGCTGTTTCCTTTAGCGAGTTGTCATGAGATCCCTAAACCTCGAGTGCTCTGAACCCAAACTTGGTCATGCACGATATGTGTCCCAACAATGCTGCCACCACTGAAGTGGAAGATGGGTTTGCTATACAAGGTCCCGAATGGAGAAGGGGTCCATGAGGATGGTCTTGCGGCTTGGGGTGTAGGCTTCATGCTTCAGGTTGAGGAAAGTAGGTTGAGGGCCTCAGGGCTTGGGCTTTATAAGGCTTTAGAGCTCTGCCCACGATACCGGAAAAAGCGCGTGACGATGCATGCGCAAAAAGGTACAAGGGACCGAGGCGCGAGCACGATTTGGAGCACGGAAGGATTGCTGACAGCACACATGACAGGCCAGACGTGTCTTACACTACTTTCTGCAACGACCCGTTATGCCTACTGATTCGCTGGGATAAAAATGAGCGCGTCTATAGCTTTTGCCCCAGCTGTATTTCTGGCGCACTGAGGAACCTGTGAAATCCCCTAAAGCACAAACCCTAAACACGGTACCCCCGGTGCACCTCTTGAAAAATCATCCCGCCCACAGGCGAACAATGGCAAGCCCTTCTGATTCTTGCAGCCCCTCAACCCAATTAAGCATCCTACAATCACATATTTGAGCTGCTACCCAGCTGCCTCTTGATGCTTTTCCATGGAGGTGGCCTGAATTCCAAAACGAGGCAGGATTTATTGGGGAGGTTTAGGGCTTGTGGGCTCCCCCGCAAACCCATAAGCTCAATCAACTGCCCTACCCTAAACCCGACCCTAAACCCCAAACTCTACGCCACACTGATGGTCGCCCTGAGAGCCACTGAGGGGAATTCCGGGGAGTTTAAAGGGCGTAGGTTGGGATGTTCCCCCTTTGTAAGTCTTTGATAGGGATTCTAGTACCCTCTTTTGTAAGCCCTGTGAAGAATTGTATCAGGGGGAACATCCCAAGGCTTCGGGTTTAGGGTCTAGGGTTAGGGGTTTCGGGTTTGGGGTAGGGCGTTGAGGGTTCTGGTAGAAGGGTGAAATCATGGGTTTCCCTGCTATATCCCCTAATCCCCTTAATTAGGCTTAATTATCTCTAAACAGCCTTAATTGTTGGGGGTGTGAAAGGTTTGAGGGTTGGGGTTGACTGATTCGGGGGTGGAGTGCGAGTTGTACGGGTCGTTGAAAGGATGAGTTGCAGGTTTAGGTTCCTTCAAGCGTTTAGGGTTGATGATTTTGGCCGGAGGTCTACGGATAAAACAGTATTCGATATCTCCTGCCTCCACTGTCAAGGATGGTCTAAGCTGGTGGATATGGGCAGCCCTCATAAACTGTGTACTCGAACCCTCAAACCTAAGCCTTCACTAAACCTCTAAACCCTACACCCTTCATCAATGCGTGGAGCCTCTGAACCCTGAACCTTGAACTCCAGCCCAAACTCCTCACATCCGCTATAATAAGCTGCAATAAGACCTTTGCACCCCAGATACACGGAGTGTTTGAACAAAGCTCACATCCCTACGATTGTCGTGCGCATGACAAGCTGCAGCAACACGGCGCGTCTGCCGAAGCTGCTGGCAAGTTGCACCTCACAAAGCTGGGAGCTTGCAGCTGGCAGGTGCTGCTAGATGAGGGTTGTAAGCTCAGGGTTTTACGGTTTGGGATTTAAGGTTTAGGGTTTAAAGTTTAGGGTTTAGGGTTTAGGGTAACCCTAAACCCATCTCTTCCCTAGCTATCTTGCATCTTCCCCCGCCCCCAACCCACCCTGTCGTCGTGACGCCATCCTCACAAACTGTCCCGTTACATCCCAGGGCTCCCCCAACCGAGTCCATGAGCAGGGTTTAGGGTTTAGGGTTTGGGGTTTAGGGTTTAGGGTTTAGGGTTCAGGGTTAGGGTTTAGGGAAGCACTGCATCCTTTTTCGCCGCTCATACACAGATGGCAAACAACTTGACAACTTGAAGTTCATGCGTGATCCCCTTTCAATGTCGCATCTTGTGTCCTAATTGCAAAGGTGAGGATGTCCTGCAACCCCATACCCTAAACCCTGAACCCTAAACCCTAAACCCTATACCCTAAACCCTCAACCCTAAACCACACTCCCGCATGACCTGAGCTCCACGCATCGGAGCGTGGAGCCTCAGAAAGCACCGCCATGGCCGCAAACGACCAAAGCCCACGTGACTTGAAACAAAAGCGCTCCTCATGCTAATTTTGAGGTCGTTTCACCAGAGGGCTCAGCCATGCAAGATCCAGCTTAGCGCAAGGGGGTGGGTTTCCTTTGCGCGCATGCGGCTTGTGAAAGGAGCATTCGGTGCTGCAAGAAGGCCCTTGAATGGACGACGCATTCCTGCCTGTGCGACCAACATCAACATGAAGTTCTCTAACCGGTCTTGAGCCAGTTTTAAGCGTTGTGTCCCGGCATTGTGGCATGTGACGAACTATGCACATGCAGCAAAAGTTTTGCCACGATGGACTTTGCAGCACGAAGCACATTCCTTGCAAGCGAGATCCTAAACCCAAAAATTATTGGTGTAGAAGATTATTTTCATCACGAAATTATGATCTAAATCTCAGATACATCCGACATCATTTCCAATACCAATCATCGTAAGCAACTAGTAATAGAATCGGACAAGATCCAAAATTTTTCCATCGCTTAAATAGGCTTTAGCAAAATCTAATGCTATGTAATTGGGAATTTGCGAAAATAGGGGGGTACCTTTTTTGGGGATCCCTTTCAGGGATTCCATTAGATTTGGAGTGTAAATGGGGCACCCTTATGTTGGGAAATGCACAATTCTCAAAAAACAATCGGCAAAAAAGGAAACCGAAGTGTAACTTTGTGTGTCATAGTCTGTTTGGGCTCTTGGGAGAGGGGTTAGGTACTTTTTCTTGCAGGTCTTTCTTTGCGCCTTGCAGCGCGAAGCGCATTCCTTGCAAGCGAGCACGAGCAGCCTTGGCAAAAAACTCAGCTCGCTAATGGGCAGCCGGCCCGCGTTAAAGTGGGGGTCGGATCGTCGCCCACCGGGGCATGGGCCCAGATGTAGGCGTGGCGGGTCTTGAAGGGTTTTCAGCGTGTATTCTCTCCCGCAACCTCGGTCAAGCAACTGGAGCTGTGAGCTCAGCACCGAGGATTTGCTTGTTTGGAACCCACTTGCAAGAGGACGAGGTCAACTTTGGGCATGCTCAAATCTGCACAATCCCAGCTGTTCCTCCATGCTCTGCAACCACGAGAAATGAAGCGACGCTAATCACAAGAAAGGCAGGCTGAGGCTGTCTTCAGGAGCTTTTCCGCCCGATCCTCCACACGACGGCCACTAGAAGTTTTTGAGGATCATGATCACCCCTACATTGCAGCGCCGAAACGGCGGATGCTGCTATGCCCTCTATCCGAACCACCCCGGACCGCAAACCCTGAACCCCAAACTCTGAACCCTGACCCCCTCAACCTGCCACCAAAACCTCCCCAGCACCTGATTTGGCCCAGGGCTTATAGGGTTTGGCTCCAGGGTTTACAGGGTTTATTGAGTTTATCCAGCGTTTTTGGGGCTACAGGGTCATGTGCCCACAAGGACGCAATCCCAAACCCAGGCCCCCAAACCCAAAACCTTCAAGCCCATTAACTCACAAAATCCTGAACCCCCCCAACCCCAACCCCCAAGTCCCTAAAGCCCCTGCTCCAACATCCCAAAGCCCAAAACCACGAGCTCCATGAGGCATCCTCTCATGGGGAGCACTTTGCTTCGCAAAGACACAGGTGCAAGTCGTTGGTGTCTCTGCATGCGGGTTTGGGGTTTAGGACCCTTTGAGCTTTGGGTTTTGGGGTTTAGGGCTTAGCCTCTCAGAGGCAAAGAAGACGATGCCACTGTGCCACTGTGCTCCATCTGCTGCATTGTTGGGTGTTCTGGAGTTTAGGGCTTAGCTCCTCAGAGGCCTCAGACGCAAAGAAGAACCACGCCACTGCGGTCCATCTGCTGCTGCAGCCGTTTCGTTAAGGGCTCGCAGCACAACTGGCCGATAATCCAAGCGCAAGACCCCAACGGCCTCCAAACCATATGGGTAGATTCAATGCTGAAGGTTTAAGTGTCTAGGGCGCGCACACGAAGTCGATGGCATTTCGGGTTTAGGGTTTGAGCGTTAGGGGTTTCTAGGGTTTAGCAGAGTTTGGGGGTCCGTAAACCCTAAGCCAGGGCTTTAGGGTTTCAGGGTTTGGGGGTTGAGAAGGCCCTAAGCAAAGGCAAGCCTCGTGGGAAGGCTTGTATACCCAAACTCGGAACGAGGTACCTTATGCTCCGCCACTTCGCGGGAATCCCTCAAAGGCCCTAAACCCTAAACCCTAAACCCTAAACCCTAAACCCTAAACCTCTCTCAACGGCTGGTGTAAGGAGTATAGTCAGGGCTCCCTGCTCGGCTGAAGCAGAACCCGCCAGGAGCTTCTTCCAACGGGTTTTGCTGACTGCAGTGCCTGCCTCTAGCAGGCACGGCGTCTTTTTTTGCTTTTGTTTTTGTTTTGCTTTTTTTTTCAGCCTCAGTCAGGCTGGAGCTGTGAGCTCAGCACGAGGCCGACGCTGGGCGCGTTCAGGCAATCTGCACAATCCCAGCGGTTCATCACATCCTTTGCAGCTACGAGAAATGCAGCAAGGAAAAGATAAAGCGAGGAAAAAGAGATGCAAAATATCATTCGCCCGCCAGCCTGGACAAAGGCAGGCTGAGGCTGTCTTCAGGAGCCATTCCACCCGATCCACACGACGGCCGCTAGAAGCTTTTGAGGGGCATGATCCCGCCTACACTACCGCGCCGAGACTGCGAATGCTGCTATGCCCTCTATCCGACCACCCCGGACCGCAAACCCTGAACCCCAAACTCTGAACCCTAACCCCCTCAACCTGCCACCAGAATTGACGCCCGTGTAAAGGAGCCGTGTGGTAGCAACCCGACGACCCTCTAAGCATCCCAAGCACCCGATTTGGCTTAGGGCCATAGGGTTATGGGTACTTGGCGGAGCCGCCATCCGTTCCACACTGCCCAAAGACAAAGCCCCAAAACCCTAAAACCCTTAACCCCCTGAAGTCTACTAAGCCCACCCAAAACCGAAAAACTCCCGAAGCCAACGCCTCTAAACCCCGAAATCACGAGCTCCCTCAGGCAGCCTCTCATTCACGGCACTTTGCTTCGCAAAGACACAGGCTCAAGTCTCTGGCGTCTTCTCTGCATGCGGCTTGGGTGGCCTGAACCCTTGTTGGGTGTTCTGGAGTTTAGGGCTTAGCTCCTCAGAGGCCTCAGAGGCAAAGAAGAACCACGCCACTGCGGTCCATCTGCTGCTGCAGCCGTTTCGTTAAGGGCTCGCAGCACAACTGGCCGATGATCCAAGCGCAATGCCCCGAAATGCATCCAAACCACATGGGGAGATTCAATGTTGAAGCTTTACGTGTCTAGGAGAACTCTAAACCCTAATAGCTCCAGATTCCTTATCAGCTTTGAGGGGCTTCTGAAGGGCTGAGGAGCTGATGCCATCCAATGCGCAAGCGAAGTTGAGGGGGTTTCGAGTTTTGGGGCCTGGGGTTGAGCGGTTTGGGTTTTGGGGATCAAGCAGGGCTTTAGGGTTTCAGGGTTTGGGCTTTGACATTGACGGCTCTAAACAAAGGAAAGGGTTTCGGGAAGGCTCATGGCTATAGTTCGG